TATATGAACTGTTTTGCACAGTAGAATTTATTCTCTTATATTTTCAACTTTCTGTGATGTCCATAAGCCTAAAGAGAACGTCATTGGGTTCTCCAAAATGTATTAGTAGTTTGCACAGTAAATATCAAAGAATAAAATTTACTATTCTGAAATGTTCATATGGTAAAACTGAATTTCGGACGCAATAGATTTAGTTCATTCCGTGCACGGCTTTAATGAATACATACGAATTCAAAAACATCATTTATATAGTATATTTTATAACTCTATAGAAGTCTGTTTTGTCCTGCCTGCTATCTGATGAATTAATCATAAAACATTTTCAAATTATGGAAAACAAGGGAGCAAAAAAGTTTCTTCCAAAGAAACACAGATCGTGTTTTCAATGTATTTTCGAACTGTTCTACAAATACATAGTAACATTATCATAAAGAAAACCAAACTTAATAAAGATTGAAAAAAAGTATCTTTTTTGTTTTTGAAGTATCAACTATGTCTTCGCATGACCATTATAGTATTCGACACATATATAAGAAGCTATGAGTAGAGTCCCAGCAGGAGTAAAATTTGAAACACGATAGAACTGCTATCGTCGTAAACAAGGAAGTCCATTAAAATATTTTTCCATTTTTGAAATACCAACTGTGTTGATGTCTGTTGATAATTAAAGATGTTAATCACAATATATTTTAATCCTTATGACGGAAACACAAAGAACAGCTATCTTGAATTCAGTCGTGTTTTATATTACTTTGTCCATTAGATTAGCTTGGCGAGTATTTCCATCATAGTCCATAAGGAGGTTGTGGTTATATTATAAGATATTAGTCACGGTATATCATGGAGGAAAGAAGTCCTCGATTTCGATGATAAAAGACGATGGACGTCTCTGCAGATGTATACTAAGAATGTACGCGTAGAATTTATCTTCAACCACTCGGAATCCATACCCTAACCGCCGAAATGATCCATATTCATTATTACAAACGATTTCTTTTGAAACATAACTAACGTACATTCTCAAAATTTATGCTTAGTCATTTTCTCGATTACTTGTCGATTTTAAGGTCGATATCAAAATGTCATGACTTTTCTTCCTTCATAATGAACTGATGACATGCAGTATGAGTCAAAATAATCAACCTATTCTCGAAATAAATTCTATTTTTTTTTCTATGCAATTATTTGCCTATGTGTTCTCAAAATCTAAAGCTATCAATTCAAAAAACTCATCCTCTATTCATCGTTAATTACCACATATTTTTCTTTCGTGACTGCAAATTTCAAAGGAAAGAAACACTAGGCTCCCATTATTGCTTTTCATTCTAGATATGAGTGAATAATTTTGTCGATCATACAGTATGAGCAAGAAATTCTACGTTATACTTTTATTGTGACAAGTCAATGGCAACATCTGTATTACTCAACTTTAATAGTGTTCTTCGGAAGCTTGATCTGTACGAGCTACCATTCATATTTATTTTTGGTCATATGAGTAATATTGCCAATATTGTTGTTTTCTCTCGTCGTTCACTTCGCGTCAATGTTTGTTCGTGGTACTTTTTATGCTTGTCATTAAATAATCTTCTATTATTATACGTGGTTTGTCTTTCAAAATCTGTGGCCGCTGTAGTTGGAAGAGATCCTGGCAATGACAATCAGTTCTTTTGTAAGTTGCGTGCATACGTTTTCGAGTTGAGTATCATCTTATCTCGTCATTTCGTGTGTCTTATTTCCATCGATCGATGGATGGTCACTTCGTCGAACCCGACACTTCGCAAACAGAGTTCATTGCGAAATGCACGAATAATCATCATATGTAGCGTTATATTTTGGTCGATTTTCTGTATTCATGGTTTCATTGGCTATTATGCAGGTAAAAGCGGTTGTGGACCAGCAATCTATACATCATACGGGATTTTTTATTCCATCAGTAGTATCATTGAATCGATGCTCCCGATTGTAAGAATCTTGTTTAAATCTGAAAAGAATCCTTCTTTGAAATTTTCTTTGTTTCTTTTGCAAACTTTTAGTTCATCATGATCTTATTTGGTTTACTAACTTTATACAATTTACGTTCGAAGTTTGCACGACAAGTTCAACCGTCGCAGAAAATTGGGGGTCAATCATCTCTAAACCAAAATTCAATAAGCACTATGTCCTATGCTGCTAGACACACACGTAAACGCAATGTTCAATTTATTCGATTGGCATTTATTCAAGTGGCTATTTTTATCATACTGAATTCATTATGGTCCGTGTATCCATTGTATGCATTCATTCTTCTCAATGCACCAACTATAACTTTCAATCAACTATTGGTATTTACAATTTGGGAAGGCTTTGGATTGAATCTTTTGTCAACATATGCGGCGGTAGATTTTTTTTTTGTTCATTGGGATACTCAATATATCATTCGATTCTATTTAGATAACATTTATTCTGTATACTTTGGTCTCAGAAACATTTCGGCAAGAACTCGTCTTAGCTATGATGAAGATTTGGAACATGATTTGGCGACATTAGAAGATGTTAATGGGTATAGATTTCTGATGGATATGTTTTATTTTAAAGAACAATTCAAATTAGATGTTGTCAGTAGATATCGACGTTGTGTAACATATAACATATGCCTTTTTTGATTATATCAATAAATTCATGATGAAAAAAGGTTTCAATATAAAACACGACAGATTCAATTTAACTGCAAGTCAGTCGAAATCGTTTGAGAATTGTTTAAAAATTGAGTAAACATCTTCTCTTCAGTCATACTTCGTCTTCACTCATAAATATATGGAGAGAAAACGCTTGAAGAAACAAGTCTGTGATTGAGTCGAGACTGATAATATCTTATGTTACAAAAAAATAGAAAGAAAACTAAGCTAGTTGTTTCGAGAAATGAAAGAGTGTAGATGATGATGTTGTTATGCCTCTCTCTTATACCGACACAAATTCTACCGATTAAAAAAAATGACAAGAAATTAGAATAAAATCGACTTTTTTATAGTCGCAAAGACATATTTTACTAATTTTTCGGATTTCTTCAAATCAATTTCAATCGATTTAAACCTCGTTTCTTCTCAAATCTTTTTACATAGATGTCGATCAAAATTTTCTGAATACTACAATAACTATGGTATAACTCCACGAAAAATACACAAAAGAAGTGATTATTTTTTTGTGAAAGTCCATGCTAGTTAACATAAAATTGCAGAATAAGCAGCTATCTTTAATGAATATAGGAGGAGTCGTTCAACTAGTAGAAGCAAGTCAATTTGAGATTTTTCAGTCATTTCTCATAAAAAATGCAAACAAAGATGTATCCGTTATCGTATTTATTGCCTGCTGAAGAAATGTCCTACTGTACATGTTCGATAACAAGTATTATCTTTCATGGATTAGATAATCACTAAGCAATTTTTGAATGATCGTTTAAACCTTCTTTCAAATGAAGTTTTTAACAGAACACAATTAATCTTCAAGTCTGATACAGTTTTCACTGTCGTTTTTATATCAAAAGATCACGAAATTCGTGAGCAAACAACTTCTATTGAAATAAAACAGTGATCAGCAAAGCATAAAAATCCATACGATGACTAAATATAGAAAATTCATCAATAACAAAATCAAATTTCTATGTGAATCTCAATAACTATATATTATTACTACTCCATTAAGTCTTGTTTCTGAAATTATTGTTCTTTCAATTTGCTTCTTTTTGAAAAATTCAGTCATGCAAGGATACATTATAATCTGAAAAGACATCTCAATTGTCATTTAACAAATCAGTCTGAAATATAAAAAGAAATCACATTTCATCAATATATGTGTTTTAAGTTTTTCATACAATACTTTGTTGAAAGATAACAAACATCTTTAAACAAGTTCTTATAAATTCACTATCGAATAATATGATTTTTGTGGAGTTTTAAATACATATCATAAGAGGATGAAAAAAGAAAACACGTTTAATGATGAATTGTATAGCATTGTTTTTTACATGGAAATAATGTTTTTTTTCCTAAAAGAGATTAAAAAGTTTAGCAATGCTTATTATAGGGCTGTTTTGTAAGCTATTAAAAATGTTTTATTCGTACCTGTCTGCTATCTATGATCTAACATATTCTGAATAAAGGATGCAAAAAGAATTATTCTTAAAAACTCTATTCTATAAAAATTTCATTTTTCGAATGTTTTCAATTAAAGAATCTACAATAAATTTAAAATATTTCACCAAAAATAATATCAATAGAGTTTTTGATGTGCTGCATTTTGGTATATTATTTTTTGTGATCACTTGACCTATGTATTTCAAAATAATTGAGTAATAAAGACTTATCAATGTTCAAGAAAGTTTTTAGAGATGTTGAGAGTTTTCCTACTCAGATTAAAATTGGAAAAATATATGTCACATAAAAATTGTATTTCAAACACTTCTCATTTCAACGAATAAAATAACTCTGAACTGAGAGATACTTCATTATTAAATATATGATGCTATTGATAATTTATTCATCTTCTTTTTTTAAATTTTTTAGCATCTTTAACTAGAAATACAAGCTTGATTATATTAAAACAATACAAATTCAATTGATGGATAAAATCAAGAGCCTACATCGAATTCTCTAATTAATTTACAAGAAATTAAAGGATAATTTAAACCTGTTGTTTAGTATTTCGATTAGGATTAAAATTAAAATGAATATCTTTTATTGTTTGTTCAATTATCAATATAGTAGTATAAGGATGTTTTGCCTCTGAATTAATATATTTTCCACTGATAAATCATGCAATTTCTTTAAAAGTATTTTCTAGATGTTGAGCATGTTCTTTGACAAATACTTGTAATTCACCTTTTTTCCTGAAATCCATTTAAAGAAAGACGATAACTCTTTTCTTATCGATAATAAAATTTTACTTCGAGACAAATTTTTGTTTGATTCTCAGTACTGAATGCACTGATTTAATCTTGTTTTTTTGCTGCTTGAACTTTAGATACATTATAAAAAACAGTATGAATCTTGAAGTACTTCATCAAGATCTTTTTCTCTGAAAGAACATTCTTCATATTAGTAGATTAATGAAAACAGAAGGATATACTCTTTGTTTCTTCATGAAACAGCTTTATTTCGACAACAAGCAATATCAAAACGTTTATCACCTTTTCTTAATCGTACAGTAGCGATACTTATGAGAGGAATTTGATTTGTGGGTATAAAAGTTTTTGAAGCCATTTAAAAATCTAAAAAGGAAAGAACTTGAAAGTTTGTTAACCCTGACAGACCCACCTTTCGCACTACTACCTGTTAAGGGTGTGGGTGTGGGGTGGGTGGAAGTGGGGGCATAATGTGTGGTTGTTAGCTCATCCTACCCGCACCCACACCCACACCATCTTTTTTTCTGCTTGAACTTTCGATACATTAGAAAAAACAGTATGAGCTCTGAAGAACTTCATCGTGATCTTTTTCTCTGAAAGAAAATTTTTCGAATTAAAAGATTAATGAAAACAATCACATACTCTTTATTTCTACGTGAAACAGCTTTATTTCGACAACAGATAATTTCAAAACGTTTACCACCTATTTTTAATCGTACAGTAGCTATGCCAATTAGACGAAATTGATTAATGAATGTAAATATTTCTGAAGCTATTTAAAAATCTAAAAGAAAAGAACTGAAAGTTCTTTAAGTTAGCCAGTACTCTGTATACGCATTAGCTAGTCACAGTACTGTCTGAAACTAATCTGAAGAAATGCTGATTTTATATCTATCAAAGTTATACTAACGTTAAAAGTTTTGCAATGAAGATTATTTCATTGGTCCATTGATCGTTCAACTAAAATGTTAAATGTAGCACAAATGGGTTGAATAGAGAATAGAAGGAAGACCTCGTCGTAAGAATGAGAACAGAGCAAAGATTAAAAAGTCATTTGTGATGTATAGATACGAGATCGTTCAATTATTAGATTCGTAACTTAACCCTTTTTAAAGAATGGTGAGATATATTGTGTCCCACCATCCTCAAAGGGTTAACAGAAACAATGAGATATTCTAATGGTTGATAGTCGAAAGAAGAGAGGTAAAATATATCAGCTCTGTATGTGGTGCAGAACATATTTAGACTCTTAGCAGGAGCGTAACTCAGCACTTCAAACAGGTGGATTAGCTTTGGCTCTATTTTTTTGAACAGAAAGTAATTCTTTTGACATGATATTGAATAAGTCTGATGTTTTATGCAAGAATCATTTTAAATTTCATAGCGTCGGTCGAGTCTTTTTCTTTTAAATGGACTAGGAAACCAGTTTTGAGCTATCGGCATGAGATCACAAAGGTCCACAAAGCTGTCTTGCGCTGTGGCACGCGCTTACGCACTTCGTACACCTGTATATTTTTCTGCTCTGTGAGCGCAGTATGACAGCGCGAAGTTGTTTCTTCGGTGCTTTTTCAGTCCATCTCAAACCATGAGATGGCGCAACATGTACTCCCAAGAGAATTGTGCCACGTTCAATTGGCATGCGCTAGATCGCGAAAAAATCTCACTGACCTCTGTGAGATAATACTTCCAAGTGAACTATGTACTTTGTGACATTATTCGATCCTAACTCAGGTATAATTATGGAGTTTTCATTTTGGGCATGGCTTTGTAGATGTTTGTGTGGTTAGGTGCGGGTGTGGGTGTAGTATGAGACAAAAGAAAAAGCTGTGCCTACATCCTGATCTGTGCGTTTGTGGAGAAGAACACTAAATGTAAAGAAAATGACTACACAAACTTCCGAGTCAAAATGTGATGTTTCAAGACAAAATAAATAAATAGGAAGGAAGAGAATGACTTGCGTACTACATCTATGAAGGTAATGCATAAGTCATATTGTTGTGTTTGTTTTTTTTTTTACATGGTAAAAACCAACTTCTCTCTTCCTATTAATGCGACTATGAAAATCAACAGATTTGATGCATGAGTTTTTTTAATTTTATTACCGATAGTATTTTTTCAAGAAGCTCACATTGAGTCACCAATGACATGTTTGTTACTGTCAAGCGATGCTATAGTCAAGGATTTTCGAGTATTGAACGAAAATTATTTGAAATATGCAAAAATCGATCAGTCACATCTTGGGTAAAGCAAAAATTTTGCTTGGAATAATGGCTTATTCGCTTCTGCCCTCCGTTTCCACCAGCAGTGACTACGCTATTGCTGTCAATAAATTTCTTTTTATTGCTTTAACTTCAGAAAAAAAAAGACTAAAAATAAAACATGTTGTTATATGTTGTCTTATACAAGACGAACATCAAGAGTAAGACCTGCAAAAAATAACAAAATGCACTAAAAAAGAGCATCAGTAAAAGCATGGCTCAACTACTAAAATCAGTATAATCACTGTTGACAATGAGATAAAGTCATGTTTCATAGTCATCGTTGCCTAGCTCAAGTTCATTCCATGAGGTAATGGATCTATTGATGTGTCTCTTTATCACATTTACATGTAAATTAAGGGGGTTGGTGTAGAGGTAGCTTTCTTTCTTTATCACCCCACACTTGTACGCCGTTCGCGACGCTACGTTGATAAACAGGCATTTTACGACTCTAATGTTCTTTATCTTTCCTTTGTGTAGAACAGGAGAAGAAAATTCGACAGAAACGGGTGTACACCAAGGAAGATGAAGAAAGGAAGAATGAGAAAGAAGCGAAGCGACAATAATAGAAAAATTCTCGAAGCGTCGTGAAGTTACCGGCTTCACATCAGCCACATTGCTCGGCCTCTATAAAAGGTATGTGTGTACTCAAGTCAAGCATACAGTTTTGAAATAAATATTAACAAGCAATTTCTTTTCTTCAGCATCTCTACTTACGCAGCTTTTGGCAATTATGTCATTTTTTCCTATTGATCACTATCGACCATCTACTGACCCCTCAGATCGCTTTTTTGGCGATCAATTGCATCTCTTCGATCCCTGGTATGACTTCGATTCGGTGACAGCAGAATCGGATAAGATGCCTGTATCATTTCGGTGGATTAACGAGCCGCGACGTCTCAGTCGCACATCGAGCCACGGTGGTGAAAACCAACATCACAAACATTCTGATCAATCGGAGAAATTTCGTGTGCAACTAAACGTGGCTGGCTTCGATCCAAAATCAGTTAAGACACATGTTGAAGGTCGAAAAGTGATCGTTGAAGCTAAACAAGAAGATCGAGAACCCGATGGTGACTTCCACATTCAAGAACTGCGAAAAACCTACGAGTTGCCTGAACATGCTGGTATGTAGCTTCATTGATCGAATTCGTCTGATTGTTCTCTTACAATTTAGATGGGAGCCACGTCGCCTCGTTCATCACTCCGCAACACATATTGGTCATTGAAGCACCAATTCGAAATCCCGATAAAGAACGACTATTGGCCGAAGCCAAGAGTGGCGAACAGAATCTGGCTCAGTTCGGTGAACATCTCGATCCTCTATTTGATTACGCCGCCTTTCTTGGTGGCCCCTTCAAGCCACACATCGTCGACAACAATGGCCAGAAACAATTGCAACTCACCATGCCTATGTTAGACTTTCATCCTGACCAAATCAAATTGTCTGTCAAGAACAACAATTTGATCGTGCAATCCGAACACAAGCCCAAGGGTCCGAATCGTTCTGAGCGATCGTTCTTCTTTCAGACGGTGAAATTACCGCCGGGCACACAAGCCAAACAAGTTCAATCGCATTTGACCCAGGATAGGCACCTGCAGATCGAGGCTCCATTCGTAGAACTCAAGCCAGACAACAATCCCATTGAAGGTCAAAAGCAATAGACACATACTTCTCTCGATAATTTACTCTTATATCTTTGCATTCTTAGCTTTTCAATGTAGAATAAACTAGAACATGGCTCTATAGTCTGTGTAGCACATCTGAGTTCTTTTCAACCCCATGACGTCAATAAAAGAAGCATCGAAGCATCTGATAGTTAGGAGTATCACAGCACCTATAGAAAGATCATCTTTTTCTAAATGGTATATTACTTAGAAAATGTGAGACGAAAACAGAATCTGATGCTCTCAAATAACATTTTTACAACTTCAAAAAAACAATAATCTACAAGTGAGAAATTAAAGCGACAATCAAAGCCAGGAAGTTTTACCTGATACGTGTGATGGTATGAGTCAAAAGAGGTTATGAAAAAAAAACAAAGCTCGAAGGCGAATGTAGGTACAAAATCTCGAAGAATATCCATTTATTATTTACACGTGTGATATATATCCATTGCTTCATGATAACCTGACAATATTCACAATTGCATGAGGGTTAATTTTCTCATGGATACTACCCGTAATAGTTTCGATTATATGAATATCCCCTTGGGTGGTGTAAAATGCTTCGATACTTTCACGAAAATCATTATCACTAAAATGATTGATCGGTTCTCTCGTACTTTAATTGACGGTGTGAGTGTGGATATATCTACAAATAGCAGCCGTTGGAAATGCAGTTCTGATAAACTTCATTTAAACTTTGTTTCTAAGATGAAACGGCTAAGCTGATCGTTTCTGTATATAATATATGAGCGACTTTTCCCCTCTTGATTAGAATAAATATTATATGGATAAAAAAAGAAAAAGAAAAAGAAAACTTTATGAATCGCAATACAGGAATATTTCGAATATTATGTTAAAGCTGCATTAGTCAAAATTACTTTTGGCCATTGGATAGCAAATGAGGATTCGATTTTAAGTATCAATAAGAGTCAAGTAATTCAATTTGGGTCAATTATGACAAGATGTATACTAACTTGATAAATGGATAGACCGTGTCAAAATGGTCTTGACATAGTTGTTTTTCAAATGAGACCCACTTGCATTTTTCCTATACAGTCATGAGTCATGCTGTTGAGTATATCTAAATAAGTCATTTATATTACTTAGTTGAAGGTTTTCATAAAAATTAACTCGACATTCAGTAGTCTTCATAAAGCGAATTACAAAAAGACCAACTAGTCGATTGTATTCGAAAGCAAATTCTAAATAGGTACAACATTTCCATTCGTTTTTGTATTCGTTGATATGAAATGAGCGCCATTCTCCATTAGTTTCTTCGTTTCAATAATCAATCTGTTCACCTGTCTCTCACACGGCTGTCTCCCACGCTGTTTCGAATGTATCATCTATTTTCATTTTTGGATTGCCTTTAACAACAGGTCGATAATATTTTCCGCGACAATGTGGCGCTATAAGGAACTGTAAAGATCATTAAAAGAAATAACATCATATAGGAAAAAATCACATTTTACTTTCTCATTATTGATGAATAATATGCCATACGAGTATCGATTGAACGTATTTTTACGTAGTTCATGAACACGTTAGATTTCGTGAGTTGTTAGTTTGTTTTCTGACACTTGAAATTAAACAAATGTTTGTTGCAAAAATCCGATGTCATAAAGAGTGTATATTAAGTTTTGATCATTGTAGTCAATATTATTTATTATATATTTCTTTCGTGGAGAAAACTGATATTGATATAATATCTATGATTTAACATTTCATAGAAAATGTTGATTTCTTATTCGAATACTTTTACAGTTTTATTAGTAATATTCACATAACAGTAGCAAATAAAAAGAGTTAGACAAATCAAGCGTCTCAAAACGAATAAATAAAGAATCTTTTGTTTACATATAGTAGCAGCAGTATGTGTTCTCAATTGTTATTTAATTTGTTTTTCTTTAGATTCTGTGCCGCTTTGAAAATATTCTTCTCTTAGTTTTTCTTCAATAGTACTTCATAANNTGAGTTTTGCTTTTAATGTTTTGTTTTCATAAAAAATAAATTTTAAATAAGACTATCAATTGATTTCAATCATTGACAAGATCGGAACAATGGAAAATTACAAGAAAATGATCGAATCATATATAATCTTCGAAAGACTAAAATGAGATAAAATCGAATAATATTGTCTAAAATACGAAGAAAAAGTTTCATCAATATATCGGATAATCAAAAGTAAAGGAACATAGAACTTTTTCAATTTCTTGCTTCTACATGGTGGTCAGTTAGGCTTCATATTTATAAGACATATACTAGATGATACTAGTCCAAAATATAACATATGTTCAGCCTTTCGATATAGTATTTTGTTCAAAAGTCGACAGAAAAAGTTTACTACTCTTCTGTGACTCTAAGAGAAATTCGATGTTTATTGAGCTTCATAATTTTGTTTCCTTATTCTGATCTGTGAAATGAATACCATTTAATTGATTTTGATTTTTTTTAAGCTAAATCAGTACAAAATATAATTAAATCCTATTCATTTTATACATTGGGATAAGCAGACAAAACTATGAAACTCGAAAAACATCGAATTTCTCTTACAGTCACAGACGACTAGTCAAATTTATTTGTATCTCTTTGAACAAATTAGTACATCCAAAGACTGCTATACTTTTGATTAGTATCTGTTAGTTTATATGATATAAGTATGAAATCTAGCTGATCATGTATAAAAAAGAAATCGAGAAAACTCTGTATACCCTTTCTTTTGAGACACCCTATATATTTACATGTATATTAATCGAAGATTTCTTTTATCTGTAGTAAAAGAATATAAATTGTTTTTGAAAATAATTCCTTTAAAATATGCCCAAGTGCAATATCTCGCTCGATGCCTCTTTGGATAAGATCAATAAACTTAGCCAAATTCAGTTTATAATCACTATTTTTATCAATGTTTTGCATATGATGAAGAAGCATGTATGGATTACCATCAAGTAAGAGAACAGATATAAAAGCAAGCTATTCAACACTATTGATTGTACCTAAGCAATCAGCATCTAAATAATGAAATGCTTCGGATATATCATTAGCTGCATTTGAAACTATCATGAATAGTTTTAAAATTTTGACAAATTGATCAAGTGGTAATGTTAGTTTTTATATTGTAGCTGCTAACTGTTTATAATTTTGTCGTTTCATTAATACGTGATAATTACGTTCATGATTATATTGGCGAATAGTTTTCTTTACTCGAACATCAAATTGATTTCTTATGTAGGAGAAGAGTGAAAAAATCTACTTTTCAATAGTTTCAACATTAACGACGCGAAATAAATTCAATATTCTCTATATTTTTCACTTTTTCTAGTGAAATGTAGCACCTTTTGCGCTTTCAGATAGACTTAGTAGTACTCTGTGAAATCATGAAGTCGTTATATTTTGGTTCGTTTTACTTTCTGAAGTATATGATTCTAGTTCTGGCGTATAAACGATAAGACATGGGAATGTCTTTTTCTTCGATAATATATAGGACAAAACCATTTTGAAATTAATGCTTCTTAGAAAGAAGAACTTGAGATCTACAGGTCAAGAAACAATTTCAATGATTACCTTCTCAAATTATAATGTTGAGGAAAATAAAAAGTTTGTATTTGTTCGATCAAGTAATATACAAGTTCGCTGATTTTTGAGCAAACTTTTTTTGGTTATTATTAATATTTTATCGGAATGCCAGACCATTGTCATATGTTTTTTTTTTGAATGTTTTGCGAAAATCATTGATATGAAAATACTGCTTGTGTTCTCGACTTATTCAACTTTAAACCGAGTACATTTAAGTCAATGTCTATATGTGTATAACACGTATATTGCGAATAAAACTCATGTTAAAAGTCCCAATTTCAGTTTATCTAACGGTTTCTTCCGTTAATCAAACTTTGAAATTGTGTATTTCCGTTCTACTGACGGCATTTTTTTGTAAGCTTTAATATTTATAGACGACTAGGTGTTACAAAAAATGAGAAAAAAAAGACAGAAGAACAAAGAGAATATGCATCGAAGGCATAGTGAAATGTAATATTACTACCACGTATCATCACAAATAGCTCTTATGAAAATTTTATTATTATCATTTTAGTTGAAGAATGATCGAATGTCATTGGAAATGTAGAGCATTATTTTTTGCTATTAGATCTGCAGACTAAAAGATACTTCAAGTTTTTTATAAGAAATTAATATGCCCCTATTTGGATTCAGATGCACAGTGCATATGGTTTGATACAGTTCAACAAGTTGTTCGCGAATATGTAGTTCATATTTCGATTTGACCACCGTTTGATTGAAAACAACCGTATAAAACGCGAATGATTGGAAATATAGCATTGATAACTATGAACAAGCTTTTTCTTTCAGAAATTGTTAAATTTCGATTACATCAATTTTTCAAAATGTATGAAAATACTTTATCCTAATTTAGCATCAAAACCTGAATATAAGGATGTTATTTAGAGTTAATGAGGTGCGAAAAATCTCTTTCAAATATAAATAACTCTAACATGCCTCATATTACATATTTATGAGTATTCTTGTAGACTTATCTAGCTTTTCTTGTAACAAGAGACGGAAGCAAGTGTGTTATTTCATTAGAATGACTAGATTATGAACTGCAAAAGTACCTATTTAGATTACTTTAGATTATATTCCATTACTGAGAAAATTAATTTTTTTTTCCCGTTGGGTAATAACATTAGACAAAAAAAAAACAAAAGAATATGCTTGTACTTCACGATTTTTATTATCATGGTTCAATTAAAAACCAAAATAGATAGCTTATTTGAAGTAAGCATCAAAAAGTGCATCGAACCCTGTATGTTTTAGTATAAACTGTGTCTGATAGAAAACAGATCTATGATCCTCCTCACGTCTATATTTCTGAAGCATTGCCCCTACTCTCATGGGACCGATTTTTTCCAGAGAAAAAGTATTCCTAAAATAAATATGATTGGATAGACTTTTTGACACTTATTCCAAATATGCTATCTATTTTGGTTTTTAATTGAACCATGATAATAAAAATCGTGAAGTACAAGCATATTCTTTTGTTTTTTTTGTCTAATGTTATTACCCAACGGGAAAAAAAATTAATTTTCTCAGTAATGGAATTAAATCTAAAATAATCTAAATAGGTACTTTTGTAGTTCATAATCTAGTCATTCTAATGAAATAACACATTTGCTTTCATCTCTTATTACAAAAAAAAAACTAGATGGGTCTACAAGAATACTCATAAATTTGTACTGAGGCATGTTAGAGTTATTTTTATTCTCAAGTTTTAACGCTAAATTAGAATAAAGTATTTTCATACAGTTTGAAAAATTGATGTAATCGAAATTTGATACTTTCTAAAAGAAAAAGCCAGTTCATAGTTATCCATGCTACATTTCCAATCATTCGTGTTTTATACGGTTGTCTTCAGTCAAACACAATGATCAAGTCGAAATAAGAACTGCATATTGACGAGCAGATTGTCAAGCTGTATCAAACTATATATAAATGAGTGAGATTAAAATCTATTCTAATTTTTGCATTATTGACACTCTGTATTTCATTACAGTTAATCATACTTATAAATATCTAGTTTCTGCTTGCTGTTTATGTGTTAAGAAAAATCATAAATATTCAGCTGCATTGCAAAAATGTACGAAGTTCATGACATTAAATATTAACTACTATATCGAGTAAATTTTTGTCTACAAAACTAAAACACACATTATGCTGTAAATAAAGTAATAAATTTTGGATACAGATTATATTGTTACTGTAATAAGGGTGACTTATTGAAAATGAATAGACGAAGAATTGAGTATACATTTATTTTTTATATACACATTTTCTTATATTCATTTGTTGAAATAAAATAAATAAATGTTGGCAGAAAAAGAAAAAATGTTTCAAATTATGTTCAACTTGATTTTTTGAATTTTATTACTTTGACAATTAGTCAGTGTTACCAAATCTATTAAAGCATCTCTATAGATTAACATTTTCTTTTCTATTATAAATAACAAGACAAAATGTTGTAAAAAAAAAATAGTTGAATAGGAAAATAAATTAAAAGATCAATTCAAATGGACAGTATAATTACTAACAAAAACGCGCAAATACTTTTTTTCTTCATTTATATATATCAATATTGCGATTATTTATGTGTAAAATTAAATACAGAAGACTTTTCTATGAAAAACGTAAATCTAATGATATAATGATTATCTTAATTTTATTTAAAGAATAACTGTTTTGATCATTTAATATAATGTATTAAATCTCTTTTAATATCAAATTTTGCATTGGTTTTTTAGTATTTCGTGCTAAGTCTAGTATAATTCAATTTTGTTACTTATTAGCCAAATTGCATATAATAAAATTGATCATAATACATTAAAAAAGATCTAGACAAAGTAATAGTTCATTGTACTATTTCACCTCTATCATTAATCATGATAAAAATAATCTCTTTCTTAATTTCTTCAAAAAAAGGTGTCCTTGTTGAGTAAAAGTACATCTATAAGATATACCAACATTATTAATTATTTATTAATTTTATAGAAAAGTGTCATGACAAGTTTTATGATGAAATAGATCAGACAGTACTCGATAATAAAACTAGAACATTAATAGTTCATTCAAGTGACAGAAACTTTATTCGAATATTCCATAAATAAATTTTTAATAAAATAAGTTATTTTCTTTCTTCTTTTTAAATAAAAATAACTGGTTATACAAATAAGCAGAACAAGAAAACAACAAAGAAATTGCTTTAATTTATCATACAAATTATGATATTAACCTAAACAAAATTTTAAATTATAATAATCATTTTCGATTAAATAAATGTCTATTACGGCTACAAATATAAATTCCCTATATAAACACTTAGAATCAATGATTATCTGATAGAAACAATCACACATAATCAAGAAAAGATTAATAAAAGATCTCAAATGCATATAATCATTATTAAAAATTTAACTACTGCTTGATCTTTTAAGCCAAACTCCACCACCTGATTCCATTGTTGTTGCTTTTAACATATTTCGTTTTGCTGCTGCTGATAATTGTTGATGTGGGGGAATTGATATTTGTTCATAATCATCTATTGATGAAACAGCATCTTGCCGTTGAATTCGTATAGAAGGTTTGTTTTTAAGTTCAACAGAAGTTAATGCAGGAGTTTCTTCAATAAGTATATCACTTTGTCTTATATTACTTGTTTGTAAACGATGACACGATGCATGAAGACGAGGTGCTGAATAACATGGACGAAGTGAACATATTGCTGATGATTGTCGTGTAGATGAATGTGGTGATGGTGAACGTGATGGTCGACATATATGTGATGATGGTGAACGTTGTCGACTAGGAAATTGTGAATGAATACTTAATTGTGAATAAGGTGATATTGATGGTGAAACATAAAGTGGTCGTGCAAGTCCTGTTGTTGGTACACCACGTGGTACAGATGAATGTCGTGAATATCGCCGATGATGTCCTCCGTATGGTGCAAGACTAGCACGTGGTGTATATAATTCAATAAGTTCACCTGTTATAATTGAATTACGTTTAATTAAATGTGATAATTGATAACTTCGTGAACTTTCACGTCGTCTTGAACCAATAGTTAATGTATCATTTATTCCACTATATTCACTTTCAAAATAAGTTGAACCAGTAAATATTTGTGAAAAATAAGATGATGCTGCATGTGATGATGTTGACATACGTTGATGTCGTCGTGTATTATTTGATCGATTTCTTAATGATAAATCATTACTATTAGTAATTTGTAATGTTGAATTACACATTAATTTTAAATGACATGGAATGAAACAACATGTATGACCAGCTGGACCTATATAATAAAGAAGTGATTGAAGAAAAAGTGTTGAATAAATAAGACTAATTAATGTTGATATTATAAATATCATTGCAGATTTTGATAGATAAGGTAATGATGAAAATAAACATGGACTACATATAATAATTATTGAAAATGTTAAATGAAATAATGTTGTACATAATTGTTTAAGAGAATATATTGTTCGATTTTCACGTTGAAAGAAAAATGTTGGTGCTAATTTATAGCTAAAATTAAAAAAATAATGTTTTTCTTTTTTCGTTTTATTCAATGATTCTTATGATCAGAATAATAAATTCTATCAAGAAAGTATGATAACAAAATTAATACAAAAATGTTTTCAAAATAAAGATAAAAAAAGTTATATGTGGATATTTTTCGTTTGAATAAAGACTTGAATCAGAGCATTCGAAATTGTCTATCAGTAAATAAGGTTGAACACTAAAAGTTTTATTTTTTAATATTCATCGTAAAAACTGATGTTGTTTTGGATGCTGGATTCATGTCTTCTCAGAATTTTACAAATGTGAGGAAGAGTCGCCTTATTATCGGCATAGAACTTGAAGAGAGATATCAATAGAATTCCAAAAACACATCAGTTTATACCGTTAATACCACAGAATAAAACTTACAATTCAGAAAACCTCTTGTGGTAAATCTGATTTGTTAGTGAAACATTTAATTTACTCCAATGCGCAGATGTCTACTTTTGAGGTATGCAACATTATTTTATCAGAGAAGTCTTATTTCATTAGATTGGCATGATTGAGAGTAGAGGCAACCTAAAAGAAATCATGTCCATGCGTTTTTGTTTTTTGAATTATTTTCAACAGATATGCTACGATCTTGTTCACGAGAAAAGTCTCCTAACTGATAAATTGATTTTGATTTTGAGGCTACATGCATTATTTGAAACCAAATGAACTATGAATATCCTAGAAACAGTTCAGATCCTTAGCTTATTACTGCCGAGATATTGCATTTTTACAGTAAATTTTAAATGAAAGCCGTAATCTCCATCGGGAATACCAGTTTTCAGACCCTAGAAGATTATCTTTTAACAATGCCATTTTAAGGGGCACAAAATTCCAGCAGGGTCACTGCATTTTCTACGACCTTCCGTTAAAAAATTAAAAGTATGACTAAAATCGAAATTTATCAAAAATTTGGAGTAGTGTCACATATCCAAGATTTTGGAGATGCCACAGCATCTCCCGCGGGAGACGCGGCACCCACACTCGGGAGATGACGTCATTCACCACTGGAGATGTAAGATCTCCTTTAGAGAGACGCATCCCCCACACCGACACTCGCATCTCTCGCGCGAGGTGCGGCGTCTCCCGCAGGAGATGTGGTGGCATCTCCAAAATCTTGGATATGTGACACTGCTGAAAATTTGACTAAAATAAGGTCTTTTTTCATTTTTTGTGATACTTTTAACACTTTAAGTGGATATCGTAGAAAATGCTGTAACCCTTCATTTTATGATCTTTGAAATAGCATTTTAAAAAAATAGTCTTCCAGAACCTGAAAACTACTGTGTCATTGTTTTTTAGGAAATCTTGTCATCATAGTTCATTTCTGAAATCTTATTATATGATGCATTAGATAGAAAACTTCATTGGCTATTAAAATGACTACTTAGTTGAATTTGAGTTGGATGCTTAACATTATAGAAAAATACGTTGTTGTTAAAGTATTTTCCACTATCTTACAATGGCAGATTCCATATGCTTATTTCAGAACAGAAACAAATAAAAAGACCTGAAACTTTCATAATAAATTATTTTCATTAAGATCTATTTCGGTAGAAAAATTTCAGATCAAAATTCAAATGACAGATTAAAAATCAGATTTTTTCTTTGTTTCCTACGTGGAAATTCTTCCTTAGCTCTTGGCAAGCGGCCTATTTCGAGCTCTGGAATATATGAAGAGTATTTTCATAATAAAATTTCTTATAAATCAATAATCATGTTTTATAACAGCAGTAGTGGATTTAAAATAGATGACTCCTCCTAGCTTCCGAAATATTTTTCAGATTTTCTCAGCACAAAACCGGCTGGATAGGACTTCTATTGGACTTCAAAACACACTTTATGGACCATGATTATCTTCCTTCTTGAAAATCTTAAATACGTCACTGAATAACAGATGACAAATATCTATCATAATCTCCTCGATAGAATAAATTTTCTATAAAATTGGACAAAACATACCTAATTGAATAAAGTACAGAATATTGTGAACAAATAATAAGTACTACAGTAAAATAAGACATATTTTCTACAGTTAATTTATAATTAAATAATGTTAATATTCCAATACATGTAATAAAATTAAGTAATGTTGTTAATGTAACAAATAATCCAAGAATACCTGTAAATAATAATAAAAATATTAATATAATTATAAATTTAATTCCTATTAAAATATATTTTTCTTGTTGTAATTGTTCCATAATTGTATATGTTGAAAATAATTCACTTGACCACCAAAATGACATATGTAAAAATGTTTTTGAATAAAATTTATGAATAAAATTTGTTTTTAAATTATCATATAATAATTTCCATTCATCAATATTATTTATATTACTTAATATATTCCATTGATAATTTATTGTTTGTAATAAATATCGAGGATTTTGTGCATCACTTATAAAACGAAGACCATTTTTAATTAAAACTAAATCATTATATTTATATGAATTATAATATAATGAATTAAGACATAGAATACATTCATATGAATTAAATGTTGTTTTATTTGAATAACATATATAACTACAATTAATTGATTGATTTTGATAATGTGTAATTATTGAAGAAAATTTTGTATTTGATAATAAATTAATTGAATATGATGAAGATAAATCACCGAAACAATGAACATTATTTATTGTTAATGAAGTATTATTTAGTTTATTTTCAACCGATGTTATTGATGGTCTAAAAGTAAAATAGAGACAAGTATATAATAAATCAATCAAAAGATATAATCCGTTTCTTAATCAACAATTCAAAATACTAGAAGAACATTGATAAAATTTTTATTCCTTGCGGAAACATCAAAATTCAATGGTTATAGTGACACAGACTTTGTTAAATATGTCTTCCAGTTTTTCATCAAAAAATTTGATGACAGACTAAAACTCTATTGAATTATTTTCATTCTCAGTAATATTCAATAGCAGAATGTAAAACTAAATACACTTTCTATTGATTGTTCGACTTGTGTATAATTACACAATGTTCTAAATATAATCCAAATAACTCAGAAAACGACATTTTGTCGTTTAAATTAGTATGTATTTTCCAAAATTACCGTTTATTATACCTAAACGCCGTTTAAGAGAAGGAATTTTTGCTTCGAAACAGCGTTTTGGTGTGATAAATGGTAATTTTAGATAATACATACTGATTTAAATGATAAAATGTCATTTTCTAGGCTACCTGTAAACATCTTATATCTTCATGTCTCGTTACTAAAAATTACAAAATGTAAAACAACATAGCCAGATCTCTAAAATTCTCTATTCTACAACTGTTCTCATCAGAACATTTTGTTCAAATAAAATTAAAAGTAAATCATTCGTAAATGATATCAATTATTCAAAACAAACATCAGTAATTAAGAAGAGTTCATTTTCTAGTTTGAAATATTTGTCTGATCTCTGCGAGTTCGATTTAAAAAATTGTACAAATATTTGATTTTCATTATTTTTGTGAAACATGATCTAACAGAAGTATTGAAGCAAAAGGGTAAAAATTTGGATTCTCTTTCATAGATCACGACAGATATTGACTTACGATCATAGATCGTATATTAATAACATCTCGTTATATTCTATGAACTATTTCCTTCGAGGGACAAACAGTAGAGACTTGAGTTTTGAAGTTTGATGAGTCCCTCTCGACTTTCTTAATGCGTGTCTGAGGGATTAAGTGAAAGGATGACGAAGAAATGTGTCTCAAAATAGATAGGATAAAACCATCTCTCTGTGATTAGCATTAGCAGTTACATCGTGTTTTACATTTTAATCTCAAATGAATTGCACTAACAGCTTTTATATTAATAATTTATATTCACTATATGAAATACATTATTGACCTATTTATCAAATATAAATAATATTCTTGTTAAAATTCACAAATTATTCGATACTTCATTTCTTTTTTGAATATATCTTCTTTTTGTTCTTCTATAGATTCATTAAAAACAAAAACAAAAAAAATTTCTTACACATAAAATGAATGATTATTTAATATTTGTGAATTTGGATCTTGATGAAGAGATAATTTTCTTTCATTTGTCATATATTCAATAGATTGTTTTTGTTGTAATAATTTTAATTTAGAACAAAAATCAATTAATGATATTAAATTATTTTCTAAAGCATATTCAAATGTATGAATTGTACCAGATTTTGATGTCATTTTATTTTCTAAATTATAATCAAGTACAGGAATATCTTTAGCAGGTATAATTGATTCATATGGTACTTCCCAATGAGAACCAATATAATATGTTATATCAATATCTAAAGTTTTTATTGTTGTCATAGATTTTTCATTTAACATATGAAATGGTAAAGCATCAAATGTTATTCGACATGCATTAAATTGTAATTTTGGCCATTGAAATATAATAAAAAAAGCAATACAAGATATAATAGTTAATAAAGTTAACCAAAAAGCTCTTAATCGTACAATAAGATAAGGTATAGTACGATCAATAAAACAATGATTTGTTATTCTTTTTAAAAGACGATGTAAACAATGTTCTATTGTTGGAATAGATGATTGATGTCGAAGAATGAAAACTAATGAAACTAAATAGAAAAATAGAATTTATCTTTAATAGAGATTTACTTTTTTTTTAAAATTTTCTCTATTAGAATCTAAAATGTTTCGTTTTGACGTTAAAATGTCATTATGACTTTCATGCTATTTTAAATACAAAATCTTATAAGTTCTGTTCGCTTTGTTTTGTGTTCGATCAATGGGACTTCTATAGTATTAATCCGCTTATGAATAAGAAGATTTTATATTTTGAATAATTTTGATAACAAGAAAAAATGTAAGCAATAATCCAATTTCAATTATTAGAAAGAGAAAAGAAATTAAATTAAATGGATTTTTTTTTTAGATTTTTTTAATATATCAGTTGTTAAGGATACATCCGGATTTGATAATTATACACAGATTGTTCTGTAGTAAATTGAAAACAAAAATATTTATTGAAATCTATTTTCTCTATTAGAGAAATTGACGAGAAATCATTTTCAACTGATTAATTGCTTTGAAATTCGGATTCCGTACATAAGGTAAACTGCCATGAGCTATGAAAAATCTATAAAAAGAATCAGTTCTCTTTTGCTTTCTACCTAGATTTATAAACTTTTCATTAAAATTTTAGCCTCTGACATTGTATATACCAGTTAATCGAATGATGGTATTTCTGTTTGACACTTTCCATACAAGTACGTCTATTTTTCCGTAGACTGCCCTGGAAATCTTAGCTCAAAACAATATTTCCTTCCTGCGCTCCTGAAGTCCCGACATTCTAATGTCCGCCCTGAACTTCGCATGACAGTGGGGTCTTTAATATCTCGTGAAGGAACCATTCATTTGAGCTAAAATTTTCAGAACATTCTACTAATAACTAGACCTGTTAGTAGGGAAAATCTCAGGTCGAAATATATTGTCATTCAATTTTTTGGTGTATATCATGTCAGAGGCTAAAATTCTAGTAAAATATGCCTATAACTGTGAACAGAAGGCCTAAGCGGACTGATCCTTTAGAAGTTTTTCCTAACTCACTAAAGTCTACTTTATGTACTGAGCTCGGATTGAAAACAAATCGATCAGTTTTTTTTTACGTTTCTTCGCAAATATTTTCTTTTATAAATCAAAATAAAACTTACCAGGATAAAGTGTAAATGAAATAAAAAAAGATATTGATATAAGTAAAAATGAAAAAACTGTAAAACATTGTAAGACTATTATTTGATTTGTATATGTTATAACAAGTACAATAATAGCTGTTAAATTTTTTGGTACTAAATAATAAAATGTTTGTGTTAATAAATTTTCAATAATACGATTTATTGTACAATCATCTCGTCGATGATTATTAACAAACCAACATGTATACCAAAGAAATGAATCAATAAGTATAATAAATAAATATAATGTTATACTTGTATAATTAAATATAGCTATTGGAAAATGAAATACATAAACATAAATAATACAACTAAATAGTATTGTTATAAATATATGTAGAATAATAATTAAAATAAAGAAAATATTTTTGATAAATAATAAAAGACATAATATATAAAGACATATAGTTAAACATAATAATGGTAAATTTATTTTAAGAAGATAATTAAATATAAATTGTTCATCATTAGAATCAAAATTTATATTAATTAAATAAAATTTTTTTTCATATTGTTTATTATAAAGACTATTATATAAATAAACAAGATTTTCTCTTTTATTTAAATTATTTTCAATATTTATATAGATTTTAAATATTGAAGATGAATGAAGATGTTTAAGATAATGATGAAGTTGATTATTTGAACATAATGATGAATTACATGATAACCATTGAGAATGATAATCTTCTAATTGATTTAATGTGAGATTTTCACATTGTTTCAATGAAATAAAATGTCCATTAAAGAGAAGACCAACTAAATTAAAAAGTATCAATTTTCATAGGACGAAAAAAAA